TGTGTGTGTGTGTGTGTGTGTGCGGGTGTGTGTGTGTGTGCGTGTGTGTGTGTGTGGGGGTGTGTGTGTGTGTGTGTGTGTGTGTGTGTGTGCGTGCGTGCGTATCCACAGGCCCCCATCATCCGGGACATGAAAACAACCATTAATGCCATGAATCCGCCCTTGAGACCCTAACTCTCATATCTTGACTCTGCACGAAACCTGTCCACAGTCCATGGTTGACACCTCACATCCAGTACATGACCACTAAGAACCCACCCTCGGGACCACCGCCTGTCTAACCTTAACGCCCTTATAAGGAGTCATGTGAAGAGAACACGGGTTAACCGTTCTCTCCCTGTCACACCTTGAGACCCTTCCCAACTTAGCTCACGGAATTGGTATCATGGCGGTCCCACCTGTCAGTCTTGCCCATGAATCCGCCCTTGAGACCCAACCTCTGTTTCCAAGCCACTATATAAGAACCCACCCTCGGGACCCCAACCGCCTGTCTAACCTTCCGGAATCTCCCTGTCACACCTTGAGACCCTAACTCTCATATCTTGGTCTAACCGTTCACACCCTTGAGTCCCTTTCCCATCTAGTACCAGGATTAAAGGTAACATTCACCCTTTCCTGAAGCACTTTCCAGTCCACCTTCGGCTCTCATGCTAATAAGAACTACGAAGAGAATAAAGTGAAGCAAGCTTGCTTTGAAGAACATCATGCCGTCAAGAGGAATTGCCAAGACCAAGACAAAGCCAAACCAAGCCGCACCTCCGAAAACTAGAAATGCCACACCCACCCCAAGGCAGCCGAGCCAAGACAAGCCGCAGCCAAGAAAAACCAAGCCTTTCCAACACACCCAACCCGAGCCGCACCAAAAGCCAAGCCGCAACGAAGAAAAAACAAAAAAAACACGAACCCCCCCCCCCCTTCCCCCCCGTCCAATCCCGTCCACATTGGACATCTCACGGACGTCTCCATTCACCATCATTCACCCCCACCAGCTGAAAGGCCTCCAATTTGTAGAATGATAGGATAAGGAGTAACACGATACGTAACATTCTGCGGGATTGTTGTCGTATGCCAGCCCGTGGCGCTCAGGGCCGCTCGGGGTAAAAGCGATGGCAATTTCTAGGGACCAGCAATTTCAACCAGTTTTTTGTACTTTTTGTACAGCCCCACGTCTTAGATCCTGCAGGACGTTCAGCCTACATGTCGTGTCGAGCAAAGGAATTGGGCAGCCAAGGCACGACAAGAGCGGACGCCCGATCGGACACCGCTTTAGCGCCATCCGCAGCTTCGATCTCTGCGAGAAGCCTTGCTTTGAAAGGCTATGGGAGCGGTCTGAATACTGTAGGTTTGGCAAGGCTCGGGAGTTTCATTCGGACATTTCTTGTCTTGTAAGACCAGTGGGAGACCCAGGCCCTCGGAAGACGTGCTAAGGGCCGCAGCACCCGCTAGGAGCGAGCTCACCGCGCGACGTCCATCGACAATTGGTTGTCCTGAAGGTCCCTGCTGGCGGTTTTGCGCAAAGACATTCAATTTAGATCGCTACAGGTCCACAAACTGACCGATACAAAAAAGGAAGCCGTTTTCGGGAAAGGAATAGTTTCAATTTTGGAGGCTAAGGTTTGAACCTAGCGAACCTAAGGGGGATTGGCTTAAGGCATGAAATTGCATAGCCCAAAGGTCACTGAAATTGCAACCTTTGGAGTTGAAAGTTTGGGGTTGAAGGGCTATACAAAATCTAGCGAAAGGCTCGACAACCCGGCACGTCGTGCTTCCACCGCCAGCCCCGGGCTTCCAACTGGCAAAATGGTTGCCTGTCATGCTGCACGAAAGCACCAGACAGACGCGGAACCCCAAGAACTGGTCTCAACCCTGCACCCCCGAAGCTGATTCCGAAATCCTGTAGGCAAGGCCGAACCCAAACATGGTCTGAACATGCCGGCGGTCAGCGTCACTCCAGAAAGCTCCGTGAATTTAGAAGACTGCAGCATTACTGCAGCCAAAGAGCTGAGGAAGGCCTGGGCCATTGAGGGAGATTTGGGGATGGATACCTTCGCCTTGCAGACGGCGGCCAGCCAGAAGCTTCAAGTTGCAGTGACCTTCGAGTGCATATGTACATATAAGTGGAAGTGGATGATAAAAATCGGTGGCAAGAAAACCCAGACACAGATGAAAGGAACAAATTCGACCTGTCTGTGCCAAGATATAGTTGCGAGCTTCGTGTCCTTGAGCCCGGGTTCCTCAGCTATAGGGGCCGAAGAATTCATCCAGGGAGGTCCAGGGTCATAGGCCAATCAAAACTTTTGAGTTGTGGCAGCGCTTACTTATGCTTCGGCTTGTCATTGGACAATCACAGGTACAATGGCGACGAACCTCCAGGATTCGCACAAACGGGCATATGAGAAACCTCTAGGACCCTCACCAAACCCCACGAGCACCCAGAAAGGGGACATGTGACAAACCTCTAGGCTCCCTGGCACGAAGGGAGGGAACATATCATGAACCTCTAGGATCCTCACCAAACCCTACGTGCACGCAGGGTGGGGAACCTCTAGGATCCGCTCCAAACCCTAGCACGGAGGGAAGGGGCACATGACAAACGTCCAGGATCCGCACCAAACCCTAGCACGAAGGGAAGGAGCACATGACAAACTTTTAGAATCCTCACCAAACCCTACGAGCATGCCGGGAGGGACATGCGACAAACCTCTACTCGTAGGATCCATAGGAGAAAAACACGCAACAAACCTCTGGGATCCACGCCAAACCCTAGCACGAAGGAAGACATGTGACAAACCCTCTGGGGACCTCACCAACCCCTACGAGCACGCAGAGTGGGTTTGAAAATTCCTTGGGTCTCGCATTCTGGTGCATCATCAGGAGCTATAATTATAGTTTTTGTGCGGTAATGTTGTAGATTTGGGTAAAGGTAGTGGGACTCTGCACCTGCTTCTTTGCTGGAAAACACGTTTTTTTTTTTACTCTATCGAAGACTCTGAGGTCTTCACTAATTCGACGCGTGTGTCTTGCAGCCAGTAATTCACTGCAAGCAGTCAAGCAGCGTAACATAGCGTAACACTGGATGGGCTGCACGTCACTGTGCATCGGTTGTCAAGGGGCTAGACGGTTGTGTCGCAAGGCAGCTCCACGCCTCGAAGTAGCCCTGGAAGAGCCGAATTAGGGAGTTTCCATTGACCAAAGCGGGGCGAGGTAAGAAGGAACAGAACAGCCACATACTCTTTTTTAGGTGCAAGAGACTCAAATCCCGGATGCTCTTTCTATGCCGTTGTGTGCGTATTTAGGGCACAGGATGCTTTACAGGGACTTCAGGGCATTCCATTAACATCTGGGACTGCAGCTATGCCTGTCATCGAGCTGGCCAGTGGCTTCCGTGTGGCTGCGTGCGGCGTGCTGCTGGGGGTCGTTGGTTGGCAGTGCTTGGCCAGCCCGGTGGTCGACCCGGATCTGGACTGTGCTACGAACATTCATGGCTTCGCTCGGCATACAAAATAATCCGTATGAGGCATGAGTACCGTCTACAACCTTTTGATTTCTCCTTCAGCTCCGGTTGTAGCTTGACTCCAGGTGCATTCTCCGTCTTCGGGTTGACCTTGTTTGTGCGCTCGGCAGGACATCCAACAGACCAGGCGCGTTTCAACCTGAGGGGGTTCCAGTCTTTGCACAAGCCCCCCCACCATTCCCGACCATAAGCCCTAAGGCCTGTGGCTCAGAGCTCCCGGCGGGTCATAGGAGTTCGTGAAGAGTCAAAGGCTGTGGCAGTTGAGGCCCATGGGACGTCCCGCGCACCTGGCTTCTATCATCGCCTGACATTTGTGTAGTTGGTTCGGGGGGGCATTTCTCCGGCGGAGATTTGGTGCATAGCCTTCTTGCGCCTCCTGCACGGATAACTTCCGCCAAAGAAGCCGACAGAGGAAGAGGGACGACAAGCGCCTGCCAAGGAAGCTAAGGGATTCGACTCGGGCCTTTGTGCCTTGATTCTCTTGTCCAGTGTGGTTGGTTGGATTCTGACTGGTTTAGTCTCCTGTTGGTTGTTGAGGAGCACATCGTGGTTACCCCAGACCGAGGCCTGTACTTCGAGGGGTTCGCGTCAAGCTCTGCTCCAACTCAGCCGCTGCAAGCAGCCACCTCCGCAGCACCAAAGGACGAAGGCGGCCCGGAGACCAATGGGCCAAGCTCCGAGGAAGCAGGTGCTGGAGCTGTTCCACGGGGCCTGGGCAAGCCATAGCTGCTAGTGCACCTGGAGGTGGTGCCGTGTTCGAAGATGTGAACTAGGGCGATTTGACGGAGGATAGCTTTGGCAACGGGGAGGTAATCTTTGTGGCCTGTGTTCGCACGCCATCGAGCTGAGTTCTTGGGGATGCCTGGCACCAGCCCTCGCACTGTCAGGCAGCCTGATCACGCTGGGAGGGCCTAGGGCCTAGGACGGCCAAGTGGCGTCTGCAGTATTTCTGGGCCGTGCGAGGGACAGGCAACTTTGCAGAGAGCTCATCAGCTTGTCATCAAGCACGCTTTGCAAGTCGACCAGCTTAATGGTTTTAATCTCCTGTGCCTCGAGGTGATGTTCACGTGTCTTCAGAGGATTGCTGTCCTCGGAGGAGCAGCACACCCGTGATGGCACGACGAGGTGGCCCGAGCTGCTTGGGAGCGTGTCAAGGCCGAGGTTGAGCACGATGCCTGCTTGGCGAAGAACCTAAAGATCTGTTCTTCCTGAGAACGCAGACGTGAGGAGCCAGACCTCGTCATGGTGCCGAAGCCTTCGCTGCAAGCTTTGGACGGCGCCTTGACCAGGCGAAAGAGCTTTCTGTGGACCCACAAGACCTCACCGCCATTTTCAAGTCGCCCACCTCGGTGATTGTGAACCGAGGCATCAGTCGGACCACGTTGTGGCTCAAGCTTGGTCAGGACCTCCGCGGGCCCGAGCAGCAGCGTACAACCTGAACCACATGGCCAGCTTTTCCTTCTCGCGCTATAGCACGCCTGCTCTGTTTTGGCGTTGGAGCGTCGGCGCGCGCAGGTCGTCTAATTATAGTACAACTGCGATATGCCTACATTTCAGAGGAATGCAGAGACCCCAAACCCCCAAGCCTGGGGAGAAGAACACTACATGCTTGCGTGTGTGCCAGTTAGTTGCGAGAGTAAAACCCCGCAAAACACGAGATTCCGGGCGGGATCTCCAGAGGACAGTGAGATGACAGTTCCATCGTAAGCCACGTGCTTAGCAATCGACTTCGCCGTCGCCTCAAACTATGGATATTAAGGGCCGAGGCCATCGTGGCAGCGGACGCAGGGCATTCGAAACGTGAGTGCTGCAAAAAGGTTGCTGCGAAGCAGATGACAAGGCAGCCAGGCCGCAACCTCTCTCGCCGGGCTAGCAGCCAAGAGTCCAGGGCGCAGAGGTGCTCGTAGATTTAGGGCTGGGCCTCAGATGTTTCAAACAGCATACTATGACTTGCAATGGCCATGTAAAGCCCGAGTGTGAAAACTTCAGACCTTTGGAGGGCCCTTCTCTAACCTCAAGCCGACCTCAGCTTTCGAACAAGATGGGCTTGGTGCTGAGGTTAGTGGTAGACAGCGCGTAACGGACGATCGCGTCAGACCATGAGCCTTCAGTCAAGGCTTGGGCAAGGTCAAGGCTTGGGCAAGAGCAGTAGCCAAAAAAGGAAGTGGTAGACAGCCTACGGGACTTGCGTTTCCTCGTCGCCAATTGAAGGATGGATCGTGTGTGTTCTGCACCCATCAATCTGCGCCCATCAAGTCCGACATACTGGCGCGCAAGTGCCCGCAACCACTGGTTTGTGGCTGCGACACGCAGAGCCCCGCCGCAAGCACGAGTCAGCTCTGCAGCCATGGACATGTCGAGACCCACACGCAAAGAGCGTAGCAAAGGCTTTGAGGCTCATAGGCATTGCCCCATGATTGGAGGTGGGGGTCTAAAGGGAAAGGGGGGGATCAGGCGCAAGGAGGAGGAGGAGGAGGAGCAAAGCCGGGTACCGACCCACGGCGGGAGAGGCAGTCGTTGCACGAGTTCGCCTGATCGACCTCGCCCTGGCGAGGTGGCCAAAGGACTCCGGCGTGCTCGTTGCTTTTTCAGAAATGAAATGTTTTCCTTAGCGGGGGGGAGGCGTCTCCGGCGGGGGGGCTGCGCCCCCCCTCCGGAGAATCCGGTTTAGCCCTAAACCATAAAGCGCCAAACCCTAATCCCTAAATGCAATAATCTTCAAAAACCCTAATCCCAAAAACAGGAAACACCTTCGAAACCCTAATGCCAAAATGGAAAACCCTAAACCCTAAACCCTAAACCCTAGGGTTCAGGGTTTAGGGTTTAGGGTTTTAGGGTTTAGGGTTTAGGGTTTAGGGTTTAGGGTTTAGGGTTTAGGGTTTAGGGTTTAGGTTTAGGGTTTAGGGTTTAGGGTTTAGGGTTTAGGGTTCAGCACTCCGGGTCGAGCAGCTTTATGGTTAAGGTTTAGGGTTTAGGGTTTAGGGTTTAGGGTTTAGGGTTTAGGGTTTAGGGTTTAGGGTTTAGGGTTTAGGGTTTAG